AGTAGTGCTTGTCGAAGTTTGAGCTAACTGTGATATAACTGGTGCTATTACTAATTTTGGTTTAGTTATTTGAGTTGTAGTCAAAGCTCCTAATAAAGTATATTAATAAATTAAAATTATATTAATAAAAAATATCTTTTATAATTATTATTATATAATATAAAGAAAATTTAAGAATTAATCACCTGCTGGAATAACAACAGATTCACGTGATTTATTTGGTTTAATGAGAGTCCCGAGATATGCAAACGTATGCTTGCCTGCTTGTGCATTGGCTTGATTTCCCTGAGAAGTACTTAAGGGCACAATCTGAGCAGTAGATGTGTTGGACTTTCTAAGTAATATATGTTTCTGACCTTGTGAAGTTGTTGTGGTACTGACAGTATTAATTGGCCGATGAATTACAATATGTTGTTTACTTTGAGAAGTAGTAACCTGACTTGGTCCTTGTATAAATACTTTATTCTGTCCAGTGACAATCTAGAAAATGAAATAAACAATTCATTGATGACATTGACATTGAATTAATTCATAAAATTCCCAATAAATTAGTTGAATGAAATTGATATTTTAACACAATTAATTTAATCATAAAAATCATTTGATAATTCAATATCGTATAATTTAATATAATTCAAATTCTTTATATTTGAATTGTATTTTTTAAAAAATTTTTAACACTCATAAAAATATTGAATAATTAAATATAAAAATAATATTTAATGTAATCTATATTTTCCTACTTATTATTCTACAACAGATATATTGAGAACAGATCTATTACTATGAAGATATATATTATTCATTATTATGACCTACACATGGAATTTAATAAAATTTCACATGTATATTTTCCGTATTAATGTATATGTAACATAATGAAAATGTAGTTAATATATATTTAAATTATTGAATCATTTTATATAATTATAGGTTACTCTGACCTATATATTACAATTGTGTAGTTTATTGTACTATATAGTATAATATATTAATTTACTTATATAAGAATCAAATTATGAATATTAATGATCTTTTTTAAATTTCATTAAAAATTTTTCAATATTATATTAAATATAAAAAAAAAAATAATTTCCTTAAATATTCAAGCTATCTTACATAAGATAAAAATTTTAATTTACCTGATTATTAACTGGATTGATAATAGCAGCCAATTGAGTAGCATTAGGTGAAACCAAAGTCTGATTTGTGGTTGTAGGTGGTACTGAACGTAATTTACTTTGTTGAATATATAATAAAGGCATAACGGGTGTTGTTGGGTCATCTGATTGTGGAGTCTCCGTGCTACTGTTCTCATCTACATCATCTACTACTATTTCTTCTTCCATTCTGTCAAGAAAACGTAATGCATCATATTTTTTAAATACCTAAACTTATTTTTCTTATTTATAAATTGTTACAAAAAGATTTAAAAATATAAACCATTGTCATACTTTCATAAAATCTTTATTTTTTTAAAATTATATCACAAAACAATACAAATAATGTAACTAGAATACTAAAAGATAAAAACAATTTATTGACTTAAATTTTATTTATATTGAGAAAATTAATTTTTAAAATTTATTATAAAATGAAAACGAAAAATAAAAAAAAATAAAAAAAATATTATATCAAAAATTTTTATGTAAAAGAAATATAAAAAAAAAAAAAAAAAAAAAAAATACTTTATAATTTTACAAACCTAACAATATATAATATCTTCTATTACCAAGTGAATAATAGAATTGTTACTAGTTACATAATTCATGAATAATTGCAACTTTTATATACACGATGAAAAAAATTTAACAAAATAAAATAAATGAAACTAATATGCAAAGTTCGGTTACTTTTGTCATGATTTCACAGATAGCCATAACTGGGCGTTAAGAGAATTGCCAACACGATTTGAAACACGCGCCGAATTAATATCATTGAGTGAAGTTACGTTATTATTTTTCACGCTTTTAAACCTATCGGCTGAATAAGAATTTATTCTATATATTCTATGAAATACCAAAAATCTCAAGAAACTATTACTTTCAAGAGTTACAGCACAGATATTTTTATTCTAATACTTTTACAAATCATCAGTCGCGCATCACAAATCACTCGAAGAATACAACGCGCACGCACACTTTTCACACTGGAACGGAGAACAGATTAAACTATATAAAACTGATCACTTCTACCAGAATTCTTAAGGTAGTGTAAATAATTAATACAGTATAAATGAAAAACAAACCAAATTGAATTCCACGGAATTTTAAGCAATTATTTTCACATATCTTTTAAGCGTTCGAGCCTTCGTTCTCCGTACGCTACAGCTACGTCCTCATAGGCTCTAACTGTAGTAGCGACGGCGCAACAGGCCGCTCGCTATTGGTTAATCGCTATTAAACTAAAGAACAAGTTCACAACTTCGACCAATCGTAACGTTCTCAGTGCACTATTAACCGCATAGGATGTACAGATTTTTCCCGACAGCGAGTAATTTTGAAATCATTCAAGGATCATGCTTAGTCGATCGATACACATGACATATAAAAAATGTTTTAATCTAATCTAGTGTATTGATAATATATTTTTATTGTTTTACTCTTTAATGAATTTCCCGCGCAAATATTGTTGAAAAAAAAGTACGAGTAATATACATGTTTCTGATCAATGCGAACTAAACTAACATTTTTTTTAAAAAACCAAGTCACATATTTATTGTTATTTAACAGACAATTATATTGAATTTTGAAAATTTAAATTTATTAATATATTAATAATTTAACAAAAATGTGCAATATGAAACGTATTTGATTTAGATTTGTTTCAAGTATAGATATATATTAAATTTTATTATTTTATTTTTATAGTTCTTGCTTTTAACCAATGGCGGCCAGTATTCAAGTGACGTCGTATTGTTATCGTATTTGGATTGGTTAAACGAGCAATACGTGTAATCGGGAAAAGGATTCTGTCTTTGAAACAGCAATTTTGACGAACTGTTGATAAAATTATTAAGTTTAACGATCAATATTTTCTATTGTGCTATATATATAAATATTATTTGTATTGATTAATAGAAAATTCTAATTGATAAATCCAGTTTACATATTAAACAAATGCTTAAGTTTCTATTTCGATATACTTCTACATTAACCTCTAAAATATGAGTTTATATTTTTAATGCTCGATATATTCGCTCGAATTATCGCTTCACATAAAATATAAATTTATAATTATTATCAGATTATAATTATAGTATTTGAATGTCATAAATTTATATTCGAAAGGGATAAAAATCAGTAATAAACAATTTTTACTATAAATTTTATTAAAATTTTAAATAATTTATAAACTTTTGATATAAATTAATAATAACGATAACAATACGACATAACTATAATTTACAAATATTTTTTAAATTTATAAAAGATACTATAAACTAGATGATCCTAAATAAAAATAAATTTTTAATTATAAATTATAAATATATAAGTTATTTTATAAAAAAACAACAATAAAATATAATTTAATAAAATATAAAATATTTAATGTATCAAGGTTATTAAAAAGCTTTCAAAGCTAGGAAAAAAATATTTAATTCATTATATTTACTTTACTAGTATTAATTGATCGTTATGAATATGTAGATACAATCATTATCAAAGCACCAAAGTCACAATATTTTAAGTATGTTTCTATATGAAATAAATTGAAAAAGAATATAAATAAAGATTATTGTGAAAATTATATTAATATGTACTGAAAAGTTTGTACATGTTACATTCATTCATAAATACTTTACAACTTTTTTCAAGTACACTAATGCAAGAAGTTACGGAAAGCTTTATAGGTATACTTACTAGGATAAGTGAATGTTGGTCTAACGAATTATGAGCGGTAATTTTAAGGATATAATCTATTAAACAATAATCGTGAAAAAAAATTACCTGACTAACAAACATCTGAATATTTAATGATAGCACTGTTATATTTTACACGCGAACAACACATTGTAAACATAAGAAATTATATGATAATAAACTCACGTTTTAAAGTTGTCAGTCGCCATCATATGCGAAGAGACGGTATCATTCTAAATGCGCATGCGCATCGACCCATGTTGCTTCTGCTGTAAAAAGACTCATTCACATTGGTACGTATAAAATAAAATAAGATAAAAATGCTTAACTACTTTAGAAATATGCATTTAATAACATATAATGAAAATTTTTGTTTATCGGTTATATATTGTTATTACTATTTTTCAAATATACTAATAAAATTACTTCATAGATATAATTTTTACAAAAAAAATATAATTCACATGTAACATATTTAATATAAAAAGTATCAAATGATAATGATTATTTTTTATTTATTTTGATATAAAAATCATAATAAAAATTGATATTCTTTTTCAATTTTAAAAAATAATTTAAAAAAATTAAATTTTTCATATTAATCAAATCATAAAAAATAATTTATTTTCTTGATCATATACGATTAAAATTAAATGTTATGTTTTTCAATATTAAAATAAAAAAAATAATAATATATAACAAATTTAATAGAATTATTATATATATTGAAATATTTATTTTATATTTCGCAGTGATATTTTCATAATGCAATAATGAATAATTTCTATGCGATGTGTATACATATTATGATTACTTGCTACAATAAATTCTTTATTAATTTATTTGACATATAATATAATTGATATGCAGAAACATTAATTACAAACTATTTAAATTAAGCTTTGAAATTATTTGATTATAAATAAATAAATATATATAAATATAAATATATATATACGTACATATATATATATATATATATACTTATGTATATATTTTTGAGAAACATAATATATATATATATTTAGATTTGAGAAACATATGTCAAAACATACATATGTAAACGCTTGCGCTCGATTTTGTTGGCCAGTGCTGTCGAAGCTAAGCTCCGGAGCTTTGAGAGTCTTTTTCCATTTCAGCTTCGTTACCATGGTACAGAGACGCTAACCAATGTTATACTACACCCGCGCACACAATACAAATACTTCCCGCGAATTGTTTTCTGTTTTAAAAGCAAGTTAGAAGAAGAGAGAAATAACATCAGAAATGTCGCTCTCTCTCTCTCTAAATCCTCTTTGTCTTGTAGGAAGGATGGCAAAAGAAGGGATGGTTGTCACGTAAGGGGCTCCATCCGTGGGGACAGCACTGTCGTATGCTTCGAAAAGGCCGATTAATACGCATACGCGTTTCAAAGGAAAAGGTAAAAAAGAAATAGAAAAATACTTTGTGATTGAGAAAAAAAAATTCTGAAAAATAAATAAAAAACAAGATGATGATCATAATAAATCAGGTTTTTCTCTGTGAAATTTGTTATGTGTCATTTAACTTGCCGTAAAAAGATCGGTGACGGACAATGGCGTAGAGACAATTCTCGTGTTTTGTGCTATCAGCTGATGGACTTGATGGACCCTTGTATACTTATCAAAACAGAAGACATCATAGCAGTAAATCCCGTCTCTTGTTGCAAAATGTCATGTTACGATGCGTGATATTGTGTGCATTATAATAAACTAACTCGAAGCTGAAAGTTTTTTTCCGACTTAACATCGACTCCATTATTCACTGTCATTGAGCATAGTGTTTTCATCTGGTAAGGGAACGTTTTAACGAGAACGCTGCAAAAAATTCCATACAAATTTCTTTAAAACTTTTAATGCTTATGTACATACAAATATTTAATTCAAGATTAACTTATTTTACGAATTTGTTGCAAAAAAATTTAAATATATATACTTTATCCAATTTTGTATGTGATACGCACTTTGACGTATATGATCATATTATGTTATATTTTGACGTATAAAATTAGCTATTTGCTATTGTATTAATAACAAAATGAAATATGTTAATGTTATTAATCCGAATTTTATTCTTATTGAATGAAATATATTTTAATAAATTATTTTTTTGTGTTTTTACAAACTTTAATTATATTATATTTTAACTTGGTAAGTTATTTAATAATAATAAACTATATAAAATTATGATTATTATATCTGTTTTCAAATATATTATATTATGATAACTATAATAATAAAATAATAATTATTATATAAATAATAGTAAATAATATATTTATTATAATAATAAATTATATTTAATAGATATATTAAATATTATTTTTTCAATATATATATATATATATATATATATATATATATTTAATTTTATATTTTTATTTTAAATACAAACATTAGAATCACAAAAAATATTTAATTAATGTATTAAAATCTTGTTGCAGAGATCTTTAGTAAATTTTTAATAATGGGGGCAGCTGTAAGCAGTGGACAAAACAATGATGAATTAGTTAATAACTTAATGAAATCTGGATATATAAGAACAAGAAAAGTAGAACAAGTTTTTAGAGCTGTTGATAGAGCAGATTATGTTTTACCATCTCACAGAGATAGAGCTTATAATGATCTTGCCTGGAAACATGGCAACATTCATTTATCCGCACCATGCATATATAGCGAGGTGATGGAAAGTCTTTCATTGGAATCAGGATTGAGCTTTTTAAATCTTGGGTCTGGAACTGGTTATCTCAGTACAATGGCAGGACTCATATTGAGTAAGAACACTGCTGCTTTACTAGATCAGTATAGAATATTCGTGATATCTTTATGCCTTTCTTAGACCAACATGGAACAAATCATGGCATTGAGTTGCATGAAGATTGTTTAGAATATGCGTACGAGCGACTTGAAGAATTTAAACAGAAGTCATTAGCACTGGATGAATTTGACTTTTGTGAACCAGTTTTTATACAAGGTGATAAATAAAGAATTTATTTATATGTGACTCCTGTGAGAACAAGAAAGAGTCATGTAACTGTACATTTGGCAGGGAATTGTCTGAATGTTGCACCTGGTAGACAATATGACAGAGTATATTGTGGTGCAGCATGTCCTGAAAATTACGAAGGATTTATTAAACAATTTGTATGTATTGGAGGTATTCTCGTGATGCCATTCAAAGATCATTTGTTACGTGTACTTAGAATAGACGAGGATACTTGGTTACACTTTAAAATGCTTCCTGTATCATTTGCAACATTAGTTGTACCTACTACAACGGAGCAAACTTTATTTCATTTACGTACGTATTTTATAATCTTTTTAAGATAAAATAAAAAAAGAATAATATTTGTAAACTATATATTTAGTTTCACCAACTTATTAATATATTTATTGTAGCTGAATGTGTGCCGTTATCTCTACAAGAACTATGTAGAGGTAAAATTAGACGTTGTTTGCGATTAAATGTATGGAAAGAGCACGAAGATCTGGAAACGGAAAAAGTGATACTATTAGAACGAAGAAGATTCAATTCCCCCCAACAAACATTAACAAGATTTGTAATTCCTGTATTGGGAGAATCCGATGGATCGATATCGGATGAATCGGTGTCTGACGAAGATGATGAATTTACAAGAAGGGTATGCGTATTGCTTAGCGTGGATGCCGATCCTAGAGATTTGTATACAACTTCTCAAGTACGGGCTGTCGTATTGTGCAATATGAACGAAAATCAAAATTGGCAAGTAGTGAATAACAACGATAACGTTGACTGGTACAATCAGAATTCCGAAAATTCTACGAACAGTAACAAATCTGTTTCACGGACAGAAGAGGGTAACGATGAACAAACCACTTCGAATCCGATGGAAGAAAAATCTCAAAACAAATCCGAACTACAAAATTTTAACAACGTGAGCGAGACTTATTTAAACTTGCTCAAGCATACTGAAACGTTGTTAAATATAAGCGAAAGTGATAGCGAAACGGAACAGGATGAGACTCTTCCTGTTCAGCGTAAAAAAATGGCGAAACGAGAGAAAACGGATAGCGGTATCGTAGAGGATGTAAATTTAAGCAACGAGGATAGCTCGAATACCAGTCAATCGGACTCAAAACCTGTTGAATCTCCGGACACCACGAACGCAATGGACGTGGATCCGTCCGACGTTTCCCGTGATCAAGAAGTAATAATCGCTCGTTATGTGAATAGCAATGCCTTTTCTACTTATATGAAAGAGAAAATACAAGAGTTACCATTGCCTTTTTCATCAAAATTGTACCTAAATTATAATCGTAAGCTGTAATATAAGTAAATTACATACGCAAGTCATAATACTCTAATTTAAATAAATAAATGAATAAATAAATATATGTATATTTACACACGTGTGCGTGCGCGCATACATACTTAATATTATGTAATAATTTACATGAAATAATTACTGACTGTTATTTTATTTTTTTTTTTCTTTTTTTTTTTTTTTTTTTTTTAATCCAGAACCTTTACAAATCCTTGAACCGAAGAGATATGATATTCGTGGGAAGAAGATCAGATTGAACTTCTAAATGATTGTTGTAATTGTTCCACACTTATCTCACCTTTTATCTACTATTCTAACCATCTCCACCATTATTCAGAGGTATTCATGATATTCTCCACGAACAGAACACAGATATCATTTCAAGTAATTATCAATATACATACTGTGATAATATTTTTTACATATACATATATATATATATATATATATATAAGCACATACTCGTTAATATTCGTACAAATATAATCCTGTTGCTTCTTTTTTTTCCCCAGTGAAATCTTCTAATCACACATACACCAAACATTCTTGGATCTTCCTGAAAATTCAACTCGACAGCCTCTGAAACATGGACATTCAGAACACGTCCTCTAACTACACTCCTTTTTTGCACGATTCAAAATTATACAATATAGTTCCGACTACATAAACGCGTTGCGTAAACTCTCTCTCTCTCTCTCTCTCTCTCTCTCTCTCTCTCTCTCTCTCTCTCTCTCTCTGTCCACGCCTGTCGGAGATTGGTAGCATCTTCGCAGAATAACCGGCCTGTAAGAAGACGAATGGGATGCAGGGGATGCACTGAGGGTGCGCGTGAGGGAATCAGTTGTGCGGAAGGGGCTAACGCCCAGCTGCCCGACAGATCGCGGGTTCGTACGTTCGCGATTACACTTCCCAAAGGCTCCAGATCCAATTGTTAATCATCCTAAAACGGACGATAAGATAAGATCGAGATGTTACCTGTGCGACTCGACCGCTCACCCTTTATATATTAACCTTTCAACATTTCACCTTTTTTTTCAATTCAAACAAATTCTTCTCATTTCTTTAGATTGTTTCTCTGTGTTGAAATAATTTATACCATGTCCGTGTCTTCTCTCAAATTTGTAGGTGGTAACGAACAATATCCATTGCTTGATTCGAGACTAATTTTTCATAATTGTTCCATAAAAATAACGTGTTATCGTGCAATGATATTATCGAACGAGAAACGAATACAGAATTTTGAGTATTGGTGAAGGGAATTAATGATTTCTTCGTATTCCTGATGTAAGTAGTTTTTCAATAATGTGAATATCAAGAATACTTATTATTATTCCTGCTATCTGTTGAGTCTATAGATTCCAATTCACAAAATATCATCATTTCTGCAATAAATATTTTCACTGGCAATAAATATGCATGCATGTATATATATATATATCTTTAATATTGAAAAGAAAATCGATAAAAAATTTTTCTCCAGTAGCTGTATGCACACCGAAGATGAGATCTCTCGTGATCAGCTTCTCCTTTGTATTCTACTTGACTCTAATGGGAGCTTCGACGACGACCGAGATATCCTGCGGCGGCCGCTTGACAACGCCAAGGGGAGTGATCCAGACTCCGAATTTCCCCCAACCTTTCCCCGTGCCGATCAAGTGCCGCTGGGTAATCGATGTATCCGATATTCCAGCGACCAACAGCTCCATCGTCGTCTACTTGACGCAGGTGTACGTGTACAAGGGTCTGAGCTTCACCGAGTACGCCTATTACGAGTCGGAGAGCATGAATTTTGGCGCCACGTTGATAAAGGAGATCACCGAGGGGAACGTGTTCGAATACAAATTCTTCAGGACGTTCAGACCGTTTCTGGTGATCGAGTTCGAGCTCGATCGCCTCGAGGGCAATCACGTACGCGTTCTCAACAATTTGTTGAACGTGTACGGGTTCAATGTCACGTATCAGATGACCGAGGATGTGCCGAATTCCGATTCTTGCTCCGTCCAGCATTGCTCCTACACAGGCAATTGTTTCGTGTCTGGAGATTATACGTGAGTTCTACTTTCTATCTTGACTCTTTTGAAACTCCGTTGAAAGTTCCTAGAAGGGGTATTAATTTGAATGGAATCATCTTTGTTTCCGATATGTTCGTTTATATAAAATATATTAAATAATGGTATTTTATTATTTTATTTATTTAGGAGGGAAACACAGGGAAATACTTATAGTTTTTTCATGTAAGATAGTGTAAGGTATAATTCATTTGTAATTCTTTATCTTGTTTATGTTTACTCTTTATATTTTTATGCAATTATTAAATGCGTATTATGTATTCCACAGAATATTGTTTATTCTCGTTTTTAAACAAGAATATCTCTCTCACGAAACACGTGCTGAATTGGATCAATCATCATGGAAAACTTTCGAAAAATTTCTTTGGTCAATGGTTAAGAGTCAATGATACTCTTAATCTTGTTAATTTTCTTCTATTATAAGTTCGAAGAGAAAATGTGTCAAAGTAATAAAAATTTTTATCCCTACGAATAACTTTGGAAATTTTTCACATAAAAGATAAATATTAACGATAGGATGGTTTCAAAAGATATCGTATCAGTTCATGATTCATTAACGATTAGTATTTCACTAAATATTTCCTATATACATTTCTCTGCTCTGATATATACATATCTAACATGGAATTTGACTTTGTCACAGGAACTTTTGGTGCGATTGTTTCGATGGTTTCAATGGAAAAAATTGTAACGAAGGACCTCTCTGCTCTGACGATAGGAAAAATCCTGTTTGTCGAAATAAAGGCATTTGCAAGTACGAAGATAAGAGACATCTCTCATTTTATCATTTAAAAAAGATTGATTGACAAATCGAGGATATAAAATATTCACTTGTACAAAATCTTGTTGAATTTTGTACTCTGGAAAAAGACAAATTTACTCGAGCCTTTATCCATAAAATTTTCGCTTTTTCTTTGAACAAGCGTTAAGAGAAATCATTATGAATTGTTGCAGACAAATTGGAGCAAAAGCAATGACCTGCGAATGCACCGATGAATACGTCGGTCGTAATTGTGAGATCCATCTTTTGAATACTATGGAAGGTAGGTTTCAATGTTGGTATGGTAAAAAATCTTCTGATGTAGATTAGAAATATCACTTCATAAAGAATTACATCATATAAGATTTGTTAGATTTATTATATTGATCTCTAATGAGATTCGTAGATGATATTTCAATGACTCTGAAGCATTTGAAATTGTGTCACTGGAATCGATACGTGAGGAAGAGCATTCACGAAATCAATGCTTGTTCACAGAATGCAGAATGGAGAATTGTATAATACAATGTCCTCATGAGGAAGTGGCGCAGCAGCCATGCGCATGCAGGAATGGCACGAAAATCTATAATAGTAAGTTTAAATAATCCTCTTTTATTCTTGAGAAATTGGAATTTTTCTGCTTGGAAAATTCATGAAACGAAAGTGATTGATGGAAACTTTTACAGATCGATCGAGATACGAATGCAGAATCAAATTGTCGAACATGACATCCCTGAAAACCGGTCTAATATCACAATACGGCAGCTTGGAATCTTATATCAGTAAACAGGTANTTATTATAGAACTATTAGAGAATTTTTAAAATATCTTACATTAGAAAAATTCTTTTCTTTCTTATCTATTCTCACAGTAAAGTTTTCTTAATTAGAATTGAACGTTATTATATCTCTTAACTGCTCTAATGTATAACAATGTTATATGTATAATTATATAAAATATTGTAAATCATGTAATTTTCGGGATAATTGTGTTTTCTTAATTTTCGTGGCATAAATTAGAATTCGAAGATTGTTTACGATCGTTGTAACAGTAATTCTCTTCCTGAACATTTTCTGACGAATATTATAATTAATATAATTAATATAATTCTAACGTTTCAAGATCTTAGACGTCTTTCCAAGTCTTTTGTCCATTGAATCTTCTTTGATCTCTCAAATTGTTTCATTACAATGTGCTTTTTTGAGCCATGGGATTCAAATAATTCTTTGTATTAGAGTATATCTTCAATGAAAAAAATGTCAATTTCTCAGATAATCTATGTAGTAATTTTGATATAACTTCAACATCTATGTGGTTCAGCGTTGCATTCATGAAAATTGTATACAAAATTGAAATCCTACCAAATTATAGATATAATAAATAACTAAAAATATATGTTTTATAAACAATTTGTTTTTTTATTAATTATTATTATTTGATTAATAGGACTAATAATGCAAATTTCATAAAATTTCAAAAATATTCAATTTCTGAAATAAGAGAATCTAAAATCTTTTATTATGTATTAACAATCAGAATCAATTGTGTAACATTACAATCTACTTTTACACAATAATGATACGTGCCTATTGAAAATCAATGTAACGTTTTAATATATTGAAAAAAAACTCAATTAATATACTGAAAGATAAATTTTAAGTGTTTTCATGACTTATTTCATTCATTATTATAAATATAATGTTAATAATATTGAGATTCTTGAATTTTCCTCGTTGAAATCCATTAATATACTTTCACTTTTAATCAGTTATAATTTCTTTTTTTTCTTTTTTTTATACAAATATATTTTTATATACTTATTTTGATAATACTATTTTGCAAGAGATAACAAGTATATATAGTATATATATAACAAGTATATATATTAGACTATAATACATACATTATATATATATATATATTTATATATATACATATTAAATACAATATTAGTATCATTCAGTTAGAGAAAAAAGTTTATAGATAGGAAAAACTGTCCTATATATCATTTTCATATGTATATATATATATATATATATGTATCCAATCTACATTATGGACTTTTTTCATAATTACTCACGATACAATTATCTGATATCAATATAGAAAATAACTTTCCAATGTTTAATTCTATTGTGCATGTTTTTGGATATTTTTTTATACTTGATCATTCGTTATATTTACCAAAAATGTATCATTATAAATTTATTTCTATTTTAATAATTCTGACATAAAGAGTTGCATTCAATGTTAAAGGAAAAAGTATATTTTTTTATTTTTAATTAAAAAAAAAAAAATAATGTGCTTAAATCGATAGGAAATAAATTAAATTTAACGTATCACACATACATCGACATAATTATTCATCGTTACGTTATCGATTCACGTTCTCGAAACATGACATATATACGAGAAACATTAATGCTATTAAAGAAAAACTTGGTACATCTATTCTTCGAACTTTATTTTTGCACTAATTACTTAAATTGCACATCGTCAGTGAATCGCAAATTGATCCTGATTCAAGCTTATTTGAATTAAAAAATTGTTGTTGATCCTATTATAAAATAGGGGATAACAATAGAATTTTTATATTAAAAAAATAAAATCTGAAATTTTAAGAATTTTAATTATTGAAAGATTTTTAATATCTTATATTAATATCTTTTATGTTAATACCTTTTCTAATGCTTAAAAAAAAATGTTGAATATTTAAAAAAAAATACTTTCTAGTTTTAAGGATTTGGGTTTAGAATCTAAATTGGCTTTTCTCCTTCCCGATTTCTGATTACTTAAACAGGTATATAAGTGACGTCAAGATCAATATTTTTTTTCTTTTTCTCTACTGGTATTTCTACCGACTCGTTTCACTCACAATCAATTTCCAACATGATACATTTGGTTTTTCCAGAAATAAAGTAATTTCATTTTCTTTATGCTCTGCTTTTTATTTTTTTATTATTGTTTTCTATTTCATAATTTCTTTTTACAATGATTTTTCATTATTGTTGTTCGATGACAAAAAAAATTTTTACTTTTAATTGATAAAATGGAATTTTATTAATTACATTTCTTTTTTCAATAAATCGAAATAATCTATTGTCTTTTGTTCACAGTAATTAATTATTTATTAATTAATTTAATAATAATAATTAATTTAATAATAATCATGCAAATCTTTATCGTTATTACTGACAATAATTTTATCAGCATCAATAATGACACAATAAGTGGCGCCACTCCGAAATCCAAAATCTTTTTCGATAACGGAATGAATTTTCCTTCTTCATAAAAATCAATAAATAAACTAAAAAGCTTCTTCTTTTTTTTTCATTTTATTACAAAATTTTACTATATGGTATGTTGTATAAAAAAAAAATAGTTGGATTTTTTAGTGTTATGTGACTTCTAGAAATCTCAATATGTTTCAAAACAGCACGAACTATCTCTGATTTGTGTTCAACAATTCTATCAATAGAACTCTGCATACTTTGATATTTATAGAGTTAATATCATGAATGTGTCTCTTTTAAATGAATTTTACGAAAAAAAAAAAAAAATGTTTTTCCAATCAATCTACAATTTAAACATTTTTTATTGCGAAATTTTATATTGAAAAAATTATAAATATGTGTACTTATAATTGTGTATAAATTGTATACAATTATATATTATTATTTATCTTTATACAACTCTCTAAATCTTGAGAAACGATAAAATGTTACCTTCCCGGAATGATATCTCAAGTCACAATCTTAGTCGTCATAACAAGAATTAATGATTTTTTTTTCGCAGATGATAAGATTACTTGTCGACTCTTATATATTAAAGAATTCAACACCAACTCCAACAGAATCGATTACACCATTTATGGCATTAATTGCATTATTTTTAAAATTTAAAAAGCAAAATCTAAATTTCTCTAGACGAAAATTTTTAAATTTTCAATTTTTTCAATTGTTTTAATAATAAAGTAATTATCGAATAAAAAAATCATTCTTTTTCATGAATATGTTGTATTAAAGAATTTTAATATAAAATTCTAATTTGATATACTATGCAGTAAATGTTTTCAATATTTATATTTATCATAATATTTATCAAAATATGTTTAAATCACTTCGTTCTGGGAATCCTTTTTTTTTCCAGTTTGTAGATTGGAATTTCCAGTAGTCGCTTACGCATACATGTTTCCGAGGTGACTGACTTATCAAGTTTCGATTTTAACTTTTTCTGTAACAAAAAGAAAATTTTCTCTAATTAATAAAAAATAAATTTATCCATACGAATTTGTTTTGTAATTTCCTTACAACCAAATTGATTACGTAATATATCAACTTTCTACTTTATCGGAATTAAAGTCATTATGTATGATTGATTTAATTTTAACACATTCATAGTTCTATTGAAGAATAATATACGCATAAAACGAGATTAAAAAGAATAAAGAAAGAGAAACATTGTATGAATAAAAGAGACAACTAAAAAACAGATGCGATATATCGACGTTTTGTAATTTTCATTAATCGATGATTCTCTGATATATTTTTATATGGATTATTCGCAAATCTGTTCAGTTACAAGGATGATGAAACTAGACATATAAGATTCAATTGTTTGCATCATATGAGCACGTGCTATCGATCGAAGTGTCCTGCCAAGAAAAATGGATGTAAAATTTATTAACCAAACAAACTTGACATCTATCGAGTTCGATATTCATGTATGATTATCGATATAATTTTATTCACGTTTAATTTTTTGATATTTTGAATATGAAGAAAAAAAAAAAAGATAATATTTATTGTAAGACTGTCATCATTGATATACGTAAAAAATGTCATCTCATTCTCAAGTTTCTATCTATTTGACTATATATAAAGAATGGTTATGCGCAATAGAAGCAACATTTCGAACGAATAGACAATCGAAATCTGCAATTCTTCTTTAACAATTATCAATAGCATCGATATTTGCAAAAATTTCCTGCATACAATAATTCTTCCTAGATATTGAAATTAAGCATGTTGAAACTTATTAAAACAATAATAACTAATTCGAAGAATAACAGAAATTTTTGCTTAAATTTACATTTCAAAATAAATTATAGATACATGCTAATTAGCATGACACTATCTATTTATTACTTTTCTATTTTAAAAATTGCTACAGTTTTCATTTTTCATTTTATTTTCTGTTTCCTAGTAAAAATTTTCATAGTGAATTCGTTGATAAAAAACTCTGCAATACATAAATTCGACATGCTTTATCTGGAATATCCCTGAATATATAGTATTGCAATGCATGTTGCTAGGTGGGGGTAAGAGATGTATAAAAGCGACGTGTGTCGATTATCGAGGTCACTCGTCAACTGGAACTGTTGAGCGGTACGCGTGTTTCAACGTGAAAGTTTTCACCATTGCATAAGATTAGTTATCGAGATAACTTGTGCATTTTGACAAAAAAAGTTTCTAAAAGAGATCAGTGAAACAAAAGTGTGCATTTAATTATTATAAACTGGCGATCAAAAACGAAAGAATTCCAACTTTTAGTGAAGTGTGTAAGAGAATACTAGAAAATAATAAATCGACAAGCAGAGACAAATACTCACAGATATGACACGTTGCCAAAGTCTACAATCCTATGCATCGTCTACAATGTCTGATAGGTATGAATTTTCATTTTTTATATGTGATGCTGATTTTACGAAGAATTTGACAATATTATAATATTAATAATATAATATTAATAATATAATATTAATAAATTGCGGAATTCATTGAAACTGTATCAAAAAGTAATTATGAAATTATTATTTTTGAATTAACTCGAAATGTTTTATTTCTTAATAAAAAATATGATATTTGAAAGTACATAATAATACAATAATACAAAATAATATCTAAAAAATGAAAGTTTTATCATCTTTTATTATATGCTTTTGCTTTATCGTCGAATTCTTCACTACTTTAAAAAATAAAAGTTGGAAAAATAACTTGGAATACTCATCTCAATTGATTTTCAGTGGAAGCTTATCGTGGACCGAACAAAAAGAAATATTTAGATATCCTAGAGGCACTATAACGTGCGGTATGTTACCAACATTACGAGCTCTAGCATCCAAGGAATGCGAGAATAATCAGAGTATTATTTGTCTTGTACCTTTCGATACGGATATGGATTCTGCCAGTCACCTGCAAATGATCTTGCTGGAGGCATATTGTCGTGAGACGGGAATTAGAGTGTTAAGAGTATCCAGAGAAAGAATACGAAATCATTTATGTCCTGAAAGCGGCGATTTATCCTGCGTACTCATCTCCAATGACGATCCATACTTCTTAGATACACCGGAATGAATTTGAAACATGTTCATTTATCAAGAATGAATTTTTTTCGACTGGATGCAGTCACATAATCATATCAAGAAGTTCTGAAAAAGAATCATTGGATATTGGATAGATGGCAGAAAACACATCTTCAATAGACATTTTCGATACAGAGAGAGAAATCGATTTTAAAGTTCAACTCGAACAGAGCATATCGATAACGAAGATTAACATTCTAAAAATGACAAAAATTATATTTATATATATCTCGATATATCGCGATAAGCGATTTTAATCGCTAAAATTGTTCAAAGAAAAAGGCGATATGAAAATGATCGATTGTGATCCGTGCAAATACATATGTGTACGTGTATAAATATATATAAATGCATTCGTACACACACGTGCGCGCGCGCGCGCACGTATGCACACACATTTTTTCATTACGATGTAATTGTTAAATCAATAAAATTAATTATATTATATATATTTAATTATATTAAAAATGAATCATGTTACCGTTATGATTATTTTGTAATAATATACATATATGTTACTATAGAAAGTGATTATTTTTATTTATTCCTATAATTCTCTTCTTTATTTTTCCTTTGAACAATAATTGATTACTATTCTTTAAAATGTTATTATTTCTTCGCAGCTTGCAAAATATTTAAGGAATTCTAATATCTCGTTTACGGAGGATTTACAAATCCTGAGCGTGACGTGAGTAGGTACATTAAATGATAAAAAGTTCCATTTTCTTTTTGTCAAGATTTTTAATGGAAGTAAAGATATATTACATATAAATATATATTATAATAAAAAAATGAGAATAATAAAATGTTTTAATATAATGAAATAATGAAATATATTAATATTAATAAAAAAATATTTAAAAATTTAAAAATTATATAGAAGATAGTTTTTTTATTCGTTATGTAGACCCACGTCGGAAATTACTTTCCACTTTTTCGGAAATTCTGAGGATGGGGATAAAATTCGAGAATCGCTCAACAAATTGGTTCAACGACGACGGCTCAGTGAAATTTCTCTTGAATCGACTCATTTTACTTTTCAACAAAAACCTACGCTCAAATTACAGGTATTTATGTATCATTGATCTTCCTTGAATATATTCTTTATAAATTGATCTTACTTATTTTCATTGACATTCCTTCAGAGTCTTAAGCTAAGTAAAGGAAATGAACACGAAATACATCTAGGAGATCAGATCATTCTTTCTTGCGTTGCTCAAGGCAGTTATAACATAAATTTCACATGGTACAAGGATAATATGTTAGTGAACATGAATAAAGCCATCAGGTGAACAAATAGGAAATATTATTATAATTTATTAATCGAACAATTAAGTAACTAAATGAAATAATAAAAATACCGCATAAAAATAACTTTGAACGGCAATAAACAGAAAAATTCTTATTTTATAGGGGAATTCGATATAAATATTTTTCCAATGATGGTTCCGATCTACACACATCAGTATTAACTATTGAAAAAGCAACTTTACTTGATGCTGGTCAATACACTTGTCAAATAGTTGATTGGGGCGTGCAACAATGTAAGAGTATTTACATAGACGTGAGAGATGAACCGGATGTAAAGGTGATGCCAATGAGCGTCACTATAGATAAGGTAATTTTAAGAAAAATTTTTTTTATTTAAATAATAATTTAAATAATAATTGAAATGAGTATTTTTATAAACTGATTCTTTTGTCAGGGAACCAATATACAATTAACATGTATGACGCCTAATGTACCCAATATTGGAATAGGATTTGGTTGGACAAAGAACAAAGTTCTATTGAAACTAGAACTTGGTAGTGAAGTCTGGGAAGATTTATATCCGACTGGAAGTATATTAAAAATTACAAATGCACAGGTACTTAATTAATAACAAATTATTCCTATTTTTTTTTTTATTTAAAATGTAATATTTTTCTTATGTTTATTACATTATATTTTTAGAAATCTGCAATATATACTTGTAATGTAGCAGACAAGTTTATGTCTGTTCGTGTACAAGTTGTAAATCGAACATTAATACCGATTTGTTTAAAAGAGAAATCCTGGGGTTTAATTTGGCCAGATACTGCTCCTGGATCTGAAGCATTATTAGAATGTCCTCAACATTTTGTGGGTAAAACAGTATCCAGGCTATGTTCAATGAAAGATGCCACAACTCCTGAATGGCAAATACCAGATTTTTCTTTCTGTTTATTTGAACCATTAGTTATACATTATAATAAATTTAAAAGCTTAACTTTAGGATATCAAAATACAAGTGGTTCTGAAACAATTTTCCTATTTTGGGAAATCCTGCGAACTCGTAATTTACCTCTCTATCCCGGTGAAGGAGATCGTATTTTAAGTATTCTGACAGAAATAGAACGTTATCAATATCACATTGATCCATCTGATTTATATGCCTCCACAGAAACTTTGATACGAATAATTAGTCGTATATTGAACGATGAAAATTCAATTTTGAATCAACAAGTATGAAAATTTAACTCGTACAAATTAATAAACAAAAGAAATGCATAAACTTTTAATTTTCAGAAAGTTCTATTGCTTCTTCAAATCATTCAACGAAGTTTAATACATTGGTCCAAGATGACTATCCATCCTTATAAGCATTTATCCTTTTCTTCCTTGGTAGTAGACGTTCAAGAACTACAGCAACATAGTGGAGATAGTATCACTCATTCTCTTCAAATCCCTATAGATGAATCTATGTAATTAAATAACGCACACATAAATTAACATAAATTAAATAACGTTTGTTAAATACCATTATATTTATAAAATATCATTTATTTCACTAAATTATTCAGGTATCCAAATTGGTACGAAGATAAAACAACAGTGCGATTATGGAAGAAACGGCAACGTGGAATAAAATCTAATAGTACCTTATATGGAATAGTAGTCGTTTACAAAAATATATCTCATTTTTTTCCTGCAACATATGTTAAAGAACTTGAGTAAGCAATGACAATGTTAAATTTTACTTTCTATTGTTGAAATTATTCAATTCAAATACTTTTTATTACTAGTGATGGTACAGATTTGGAATTTCGAATAAATTCTCGAGTTATCACAGTAGCAGTGCCTACTTTCAATCTAGACAAACATAATAAAATCTGGGTAGATCTACAGCTAAAACATATACAGAATCAGTCAAATTCGTGGAATTTGTCTTGCGGGTTTATGGACGTTACAGGTTCCTGGGATCTGAACAATTGTATCGCCAATACATCTCCAAGCGATGCTGCCACGCATTGTCTTTGTCCTAATAGCGGAACTTTTGCAGTTTTCTTAACAGCACGTGCTGTAAGAGTAAGTTCAAATAGAGATTATTATATTTTTTATTTTATTTTTATTTTATTGATTAATATTAAATTTTATTGAATTATTATAAAATAAAATTTAATAATATAATTGTCAGGTAGTACTTGCAAAAAAAGAACAGACCACATTCATCGTGATATTTGGATGCGGTGGTTGTTTAGCACAATGTCTTCTATCCTCTTTGATCCTTGGAACTTTTTGGTGGACAAATCAAAGCTGGATGAACTTTTTAAAGCTTCAGTGTTGCTGTGCTTTAATCGGAGCAATGGCTGTTTTCATTTATGCCGTTCATAATGATTTACCAGAGGTAATTAGAACATATTTGCATTGATTTTAGGAACTTTTTATAATATTAATTTTATTTTAGAGTTCCTATGCGATCGTGGCAATAACTTTGGAAGCTTTTCTTCTTATTGGTATGTCAGCGCCGGTATCAGAAGCTCTAATCATTTATGCTGGTCTAACTCAAGTTCGATCCAGTCAACACTTTCAACCTACCGTTATTGCAGTCATTACGGGTATAGTCATTCAAATAATAATAATAATTAATTAAAATCCACTAGATTTGTATTAATTTTTTTATTTAATATAGGTGTCCCTATCTTAGCCGTGTTAAGTACAGAACTCACACATAAGAGTACCGGTTGGAGACACGAATCATGGTGGTTAATTTTTGGCAGTGGAGTTTATAATATCTTTGTTACTTGCGCGACAATGATGTTTCTTATATTTATATTATTATACTTGGGAATTTTACACAAAGCTCATGCTCTTGTTGAAGAAAATGTTATGAAAAAGGAAGCGATAGACATCAGGTATAATTATTTATACAACTTAAAAAAAAAAAATTAAAAAATAAAATATTCGTTTTTTTTTTTAGATTACGAATGCTTCATCGAGCTGCCATAGTCATTTGTAGCATCATTGCGACAGAGACTGCCTCCATTTTTTATATAAATTCCACCTCCATCATTTTTCATTATATATTTGCTTCTCTTTCTTCTGTCTTGGTAAGTGCATTGATAATTTTAATTGAATAAATAAAAGTTTTATTTCTAACTATGACTTTCATAAATTTAGGGTTTTGTTATAATGATGATGTATATCATAAATGGTGAATTGACTACGATTGATTTAATCTTACGAAAACTAAAATGGAAACAAAATGCAGAAGAAGAAGAAATAACATCTGAACCGATAAAGGGTACTTATGAAAATTATATCATCTATTAATACATAATATACATAAATAAGTGGATTTTATATTTACTTAATGAAATAAATTTATCATCTTACTAGTGTGTTCAAAAAATAGTGCAGAAGTGGAGAATGACACCGCTCCACCTCTCCAATCATCTTTGGGTATTGGAGAATCATATTTAGAAGTTCGCGGGATTGCAGCGGGTAGTATAGACATGCGGGAATTCATCAACGAATCCTCGTCTTCATATTCGAAATCTTCCATTCCCATTGCCAACAGATTTCTACCAGAGATTCGCATCGATCATTCGGATGATATAAACCTGGAGAATTATAGCACTAGTCCGCGAAAGTATCAAGAAGCTATCGCGTTTGATAGTATAGTTTCTTCACGATCATCGCATTATGTAAACGAGCCCTATACCACGAATGAATGTTGCAGTTTCCGGGAATTTGGTAAATTCAGAGAGTCTCAAGGACAAATCTTCATTGCACACAATCCGTCGTCAGAAAGTTCAGCAAAAGTTTTATGCAGCGCTGATGTTGAATCACGTTTAAGTGGGATGCCAGATGTGACTTTGGCCGTGAAAAAAGACGTTGAATTATCCGTGCCAGATCTAAAAAATAGGGAACATGTGAACGTTATTCCCGATATTGCCAACACCACGGAACGTAAACAACCTGATGGTGAAGAAAAGGCACCTGAAATTGTGATCACGAACTGCGAAGCTACAGCAAGTGGTATGCTAGATCGTATTGCACATGATCTTGATTATCTGTTAAATCGTACCCATTCGGATGGAACATAAATTTGGTCATCCTGCAAGAAATTGATTCACTGCTCAAATTTATTAGAAAACATAATTCCATTAAGCATAATTCATGTAATGTTTAATGGATATATAACTTTAACTTTATCATTTATGAAATTTAATAATGTGCTTAAATGAAATAAATAAAAATCATTTTTGGATATTTACTTGATTCAGAAGTATATTATAATTAAAAAGTGCTGTTCAAAGTAAATTTTGGAACTCCTTTGGAAAGGAACTCCCTTTTATTTTCTTTTTTATTTATAAAAGTTAAATAATAATATATTATGTATAAAAAATATATTATTCACAATATTTATATACATGATATTATATATAATATCAAATAAAATGAAGAAGATTTTATGACCGAATAGTATTGATATGATTGTGTATATATACATATATATATATATATATATACAGTTAATTTTTTTATAATTTATTTATTTAATTTTTAATTCATAATATAAAAATGGAAAGATTTTTAAATTCTTATAATATAAAAAAGAAAATTGAACTGAAACATACAAGTTTAATGAAAAAAAATTGGATTGAAACATGTAAGTTAATAAATAAAAATAAACAATGGTACTTTTAAAAAAAAATTATTATGATTATTACCATATATATGGTAATTTAATATAATATAATTTTCATTTATTATTATTTATCGTTATATTTCTTTACCTAATAATACTAATATTATAAAAATATTATTTTAAACTAAAAAAAATTATAAGGCAATCTTTTATATTCTCATTTTCATATTCTCTCTCTCTCTCTCTCTCTCTCTCTCTCTCTCTCTCTCTCTCTCTCTCTCTCTGCTTCTCCATCTCTCTTCTCCTCCCTTATTTCATTTTATTAAACATTTATTAAATATTTATACTATGTAATCATTCTTTCTATTCTTAAAAAAAAATCTATCATAAAAGAAAACTTTTTGTAAGAATTTGTTTTTATTAGATTCCATCCATTAGAAAACGTTTTACATTAAAAATTTGTTTACATCTCATTTTCTTCATTTTTTTATACAAACTCATGTGAATAAATTTTTACAGAATTTTTATAACACTTCAAAATCCATATCATAACTCCATACTTCCATTCTTTTTCTTCTTTCTTTTCCTTCTATCAATATTGATTTCAATACAAACATATATAGGAAAGTAAAAAAATTGAAATTAGGAAGACAGGAGTGACAAGTTTCAATGAACGAAAACAAATTTTAGGCAGTGGAATTCCGAGTTATAGTATTTATTTATCACTGTCATCGTACAGCCCTTTTCAATAATATCCATTCATATTGATTCAGTCATCATCGCACTTTCATTTTTCCGGTTTTTTCTTTTTAATAATTTGAATTATAAAGCTATACATTCAATTTTTATTTCAATAATCTACTTACATATTTAAGATCAAACTGTATGTTATCGGTAATAATTGCTGCAGTTACTTCATTTATTTTTTTCTTTGTTTTGCATCTTCGTTTTACCTCTAATAATTAATTAGTCATTTTTTTAGTGAAATACTTCACTGAAAATTTCATTTTTTTTTTCATTTGCCGAGGTATGAAATCGGAGCAATATTTCTTGGCCAAGCATATGTTATAAATGCAAAAAGATATAATAATAAGGTCGGTGTTAGTTTGTTAGCACTCGAATATATCTATATGACTAGTTTTCTGTGTCAACAGATTTTCTTAAAAATATAAATTATTTACAAGGATTTCAGCTAATTTTATCGAGATTTAATAATCTTGGTTTAATCACATCAATAATACCGAAGTATAGGAGAGCCGTGGCTGTATTCGATTATTATTTAAAAATAAAAGAAAAAAAATGAATTACAAAATGATTATATTTACATAATTTTTATATTACGTTTTACTGAATTTTACATGCGCTACTATCTTTTTTTTATTTTTATTTTTTTTAATAAATAAATTTTTTATTTATTTTATTTTAATAATTGAATAGAATATGACAATTTGGGTTAAGATAAATAATATACATCGAATATTAAAGCAAAATAAATACGATATTCATTAGTTTTCTTTATTTTTATTATTTTTGCAGTGATGTATGATAAAATTATTCTTTTATATTTAATAACAATTAATCATTTCCTCCAGTTAGTTTATGTCAATTTGTATATAAAAATAAATTTTTATGATATATTCCAATTATATAAATAAAGTTATTTGAAATAAAAATTCCAATGAATTTAAAAATTCACCAATAAAATGGCCTTTATTATATTTTAATCTAGTAACAAGAATCCATGATTTATGATTTATGATAATTAGATGCTATATGATCAACTAAAATAATATAGCGCATCTTTTATTTTTATTTAATTAAAATTTATTCAATATGTATATCCTAGCTTTTAAAATTAATATATTATTTAATTTGAAAAGAAAAAAAAATTACTAGATTTAATTTTAAGTAGAACATATGAAACATAAAAATGTTTGATTCTACCGCGTTAATATTTTTTAATCTATTGCTTTAGCCACGGCACTCTTTTTCTTTTTTCCATTTTTTATTTTTTTTCTTTTAATCATTTAATTTCATTCTTTCTTCCTGTTTACTTAAATATAAAAATACATAGCCAGTCTATACATAGAGCGTGCAAAGTGGCACAGTGAACTGAGTTACCAAATATCCTGGATGGTTAACTACCACTTTCAGCATTCGACGGTGGTTCCATTTCATCGTGACTTCTATTCGTGTTACTTGACATCGGGAGACATGAATTTTTTGGCAGCGGGTTAGTTATTACACTATCACTATGAGATGTTGTTGCATTATACATAGAATTATCAAAGTGTTGTAAGCATGGAAACTCTGGACCAGGCAGCAATAAAGTAGTTTGAGTAGGAAGATTAGTTAATGACACCATTCCAGGTGTCATCATTTGTTTGTTAAAACAACTTCTTAATGCCTCTTCGATTAAATTTGCTATTTTATCACGATCATTCTATAACAAACAATAAAATCTTGAAACTATTATTTTTTTTTAAAAATATGTAATAAGATAAATACCTCATTAATAAATCCAAAATGTACAAGCTCCTGAGCGAGAAGCATTGAAGTATCTAATTGACTCACAGGACATGTCAATTGTCTATTCATTTTGTCATCCATTCGTAATAATATTGTCATCTATAAAATATACTAGTATAAGAAATACAAATTTGATAATTAATATTAATTATTTTATCGCATTGTGTTATGTACTTACAAGTAATTCACAACTTTCTTCTCTAGGTTTAACATTACACATCATATTAACTACTCTTCGAGATTCTACATCCACCGGTTCAGGTGTTACTGATTTCACTGATTCAGTAACTTCAGGTGATATTGCTCTTGGTCGAACAGGTGGTGGGAGTTTCGCCATAAATGCTGTCAGAGGATATATACCATACCTGTTGACACAAAAAATTAATATGATATGATTAAAAAATATACAGTTTTTTAATAAATGTATGTTATGAATTTGTGAATATGAATTATCAAAAGAATAATCATAGATTATCGATTTTTAACTTTTCACTTTACTTTAAAATAAAAAGTGGAAAACATTAAATTCAATTTTAATTTGAATTAATTTTTTCATGTTTTTTTTGTACTATCTGTACAATATAAATTTATTTAAATATAATTATATTTGATATCATTTTTTCGAAATTTTTAATAAAAATAAAAAAAAATTTTTAAATTTGATTATAATAATCTCATAATTATAAAATAAAGAATATGAAAATTTTATTTTTTATATTTTAATGAGTCATTAATAAAAATCACAGATTGATAAATATACAGAATATAGATATTTTCTCTCTATAAAATCACTCTTAAAAATTCTATACAAATTGATGAGAATAAATTCTATTAAGCACAATAAAAATATATCTATTAAAAGTGAAGAATATTTTTAAATATCTATACAATTTTATATATTCATGATATGACTATTTAATACTCACTTTACATCTTCCACGAATTTTTCTAATTTTTCTGTAACAGGAATATCACTTAATCGAATCTGCTGCGATGGTCGACTTTGATACTTAATTTCCGCAACTACGGTATCAGGACCATAGAGCCTTTGCAATACTTCATCCGTTATTGTTTCTGAAATATTAGCTGAAGAAATAGAAAAAATTAACCAATTTATAAAAACTATCATTTCATCAATATTCCAGTTTTATTGTAATGATTTTTTTATCTATTTTTATTATTATAAAAAAAATATGTGTATTAAAAATATATAATAATATCGCATAAATTGTCGAAATATTATCTAATCAAATATGGAATAAAAAATGTAATTCTAAAAAATAGAATAGAATTTCTAGAATAGAATAATCCTAGAAGTCTTAATATTTTTCTTTTTCAATGACTACAAGTGAAATACAGATATTTGATTTAAATTTTGTTATTTTGAATATGTCAGAGTAACATTAACTCATTTTAAGAAATCAATTTTTAATAAATGATGAAAATAGTTAATGTGACACTATTATGAAATATATTTTGAGAAATTGAAATTAGATAACAATAATATTATTAAACTTACTGGCTGAATTAACCAAAGCATGAGCAGCAAGTAATTTTAACGAATGTACTTCAAATAAAACTGGATGAAAAAGAAGCTCCCTTGCGCTTGGTCTACTAAGCGGATCTACTTGAAGACATTTTCGAATGAAATCTTTTTGTTGGCCATCATCTAATGATTCTATGGTTTTTCGAACGTTATCATCGGTCACGATCGTACCAGTTTCTCCGTTACCCTGAATTTCTAACGCAGCCATTTCCAGAGCACACATTCCAAATGAATAAATATCAATAGCAGGAGTTACAGAATCTAAAGAATAAAATAAAAGATATTATAAATTATAATATATAATAATAATATATATTTTTATGAAATAATTCACATACTTCCATATTCAGGGGCTACAAAATGCATATTTTTCATATTTGCTCTACATGTTTTAACATGATGATGAATTGCATCAGGAGCCACTGTAATAATAATGAAAATACATCATTATTTTTAATGAATATACTGTAAATAAGCACTCACAAAATATGTATATTTCTAAGTATTTAAAAAAGTATTTAATAAGTTAAAATTTTTTATTTAAGTAGTAGTATTTTTTATTTAAGTAGTAGAAATTCTATATTTTTTCAATTAAAAATTAATTAAAAAAATACAATTCACACAATGTTTTTTTTTTTATTTTTTGAATATTTTTCATAATATATAATTAAATTAATACATAAATTGCTAGAAAAATTGTGTTGTAACTG